CACACACACACCCACGCACGCACGCACGCACGCACGCACGCACGCACGCACGCACGCACGCACGCACGCACGCACGCACGCGCGCGCGCGCGCGCGCACACACACACACACACGCACACGCACACGCACAGGCACACACACACAGACACACAGACCCACATAGCCACACACAGACATAGAGACAGACACACAGACACACACACACACACACAGACACGGACACAGACACACACAGACACACAGACACACAGACGCACAGACACACAGACACACAGACACACACACACACAGACACACAGACACAGAGACAGACGCAGAGACAGGCACAGAGACAGACACAGAGACAGAAACAGAGACAGACACACAGACCCACAGACGCACAGACACAGAGACAGACACAGAGACAGACGCAGAGACAGACACAGAGACAGACACAGAGACAGACACAGAGACAGACACAGAGACAGAGACAGACACACAGACACACAGACGCACAGAGACACACAGACGCACAGACACGCAGAGACAGAGACGCAGACACATACACACATACACGCACATACACACACACACACACATACACACACACGCATACGTATATATATATATATATATGTATATATACACACACATACGCACATACCCACTTAGCACGCGCCGCAGCCTGCGCGCATGCAAACGAACAGCCTCACGCCCACGTAGCCGCGTAAGACCCCGCCGGCCAACGCAAGAGCAAGTAAAGGCAAAGCCAGTGCAAGGCAGCTGCAAGCGGCCAGGAAACAAATGAAAGAACCACATGCAGCATTTGCCGGGTTTTTCCGGGTCACAAGGACAATTGAGCCAAACGCTTGCAGGGACAGTTTGACCTTGTGCACGTACGTGTTGTTGTTTGACACCCTCGGGAGTTCGCAGGACCGCCGGGATGGCTGAAAGCGCTGGCTGTCTAGCTGTGTAGCCCTGTAGTAGCGGTGTGGCCGCGTAGCTGTGTGGCCGCGTAGCTGTGTGGCCGCGTAGCCTAGCTTAGCTGTGCGCTTTGCTTTGGCAGTCTAGTTTGTTTGGCTTGCCCCAAATACCTTCGCATGTAATGCTATGAGCAGCTTTAAGTCAGGAGGGTTTTATTGTTGTAAAACTTCATTTATCTGTGTGTTCATGTCAAGCAGTTGTCACCGACTATGATATTGTCCATCACATATGACCCGTCGCCTCACTTTACTTTGGGAAAGTACACGTGTGAATGCGAGTTGCATTACCATCGTTCTGGGCTGCCTTGTACTGGCATGTATACGGCGGGGGAAGTTGTGAACGGCATGAAGGCACGGAAAGCGCTGCACAACACAGCCTTGGGTTGACATGCGCAGTCGACGGTTTAGTGTGGGCAACATTTTGCTCCAGCTGATGTAGCAATAATCTCGAACTGCCATGGAGAGGCCCTTTGCCAGTCTTGTGGATGAGCGCGAGGTTGGCCAATCCATTGAGAGGACACTCACTGACTCGAATGCGGCAGCATACTTTGACTTCAAGGAGGATGGAATGCAAGACGATGCGGATTTTGACCGGACATTACTTGATGATGCAGATGAGCCTGTGCCCATGGATGCAGAAGGCCTGGCAGATGGAGGCGACAAGGTGGGTGAACAAGATCCTTTGTCGGCGGTTCCTGGGGCAACGTCTTTCACCACAATCCGATCGATAATGCAATCATGCCAGCGAGGCCTTGTAGCCAAGAAGCTGGATGCTTCGAACAATTTCGACGTATCTTTTGACTTGATTCTGCATCACAAGCCAAAGGATCGCAGAGGGATTGCACACTTCGCAATCGGTGGGTCCGTGGGAAGCCAAGTCCCACGAATTTGCATTGCACCTGGTTCTTCGCAGCTGGTGTTTTATTTGCGCCAAGGGTCCTTCCGTGCCAAATGTTCTACATCGCCCATTCCTCTCCACCAATCTGTCCGTGTGAGATTTCTTCTTGCGCAGCACACCATCACAATTGACATTGATGGCAAGGTGGAAGCAAAAATTGCCGCTGATGTTCTACAGATTCCCGTTCCTGCCAAGGTGTTTGCATATTTCAGTGGTCCTGGTGACAAGGCTGCTGATGCTATGATTGGGGGAGCCGTGTACCGCTGGCGGCATTTCGCACTGCGTCCAAGGGTGCAAGCCACAACAATTTTTGAACTTCCTCCAGATGAGATTCAATTGATGCGCACAGTCACAGACGAGCTAAAGAAGGCCAAGAAGTGGGCAAGTTTCGATGCATTTTTCGGCTTGGTTGTCTTCGCCAACGCTGTATCAATGGGTGTGCAGACAGATTGCCAGTGTGGCGGTGACCTGGTTTGGCAGGTGCTTGACAACTCATTCCTCATCGCCTTCATTGTGGAAATTCTGCTTCGGGCAGCCATTAGTGGATGCCGCCAGTTTGGAGTATTGCTTCTCACTGACAGCTGGCTGCAATTTGACGTCGTGGTCGTGTCCACAAGTGTTGTGGATACATGGGTGCTAGGTGGTATGGGCAGTGGCGGTGTTTATTCGCTGGCGCGACTCTACAGGTTGCTGAAGCTTGTGAAGATGGTTCGGCTGCTGCGGGCATTTCGACAGCTCGCAATGCTGGTGGAGGGGATCTTGAGCTCACTGCAAACCTTGTTCTGGGCGGTTTTGCTTTTGGGGCTTACCATATTCATTTTCGGGGTCCTGCTGGTGCGAATGTCGCAATGGGATGAGACGGCCAGCGAAGCGACTCTTTCTGCGTTCACCTCGCTCCCTACGGCTATGTGGACCCTGGTGCGAATTACAACCTTTGACGGCTGGGTGGTGTTTGTGCGGACCGCTGCTTTTCAGCTGGGCGGGGCTCATGGGATTGCAATGGCAGTGGTCTTGTTGCTGTGCGCATTCATGACAGGACTCGGCCTGATGAACCTGGTGGTCGGAATTTTGTGCAACACGGCTTTCAAGCTGGAATCCCGTCAAGTGCGCATGATTGGGGCTGAGAAACTTGTTGCTCAGCAGGAAGCTCTGGAACTTTTTCGCCAGCAGATATCAAAGCACGGAACACATTTGTTGAAGAATCATCGCTTCATTGCAAAGAGCGAGTTTTTTGAAGCCTTACAGGACCCAAATGTGAAGGCATTGAATCGCATCCTGGATCTTTCCACCGGGGACTTTGATGTGCTCGTCGCCGCTTTCGAAGAAAATGGCGACGTGGAGATTGACGGGGTCATTGAAGCAATCGGCATCATCGAGCTGCAGTCTTATTTTGCGCGAAGTGTTGCAAACAGTGTCAAGAAGAATAAAGCTTCGACATCGCTTCGGCCAGTGGACCTGTTGTTCTTCTGCATCAGCCTGCGACAGCTGGAGGCGTCCATGACCAAAGTGGAGCGCAATGGCAAAAGTCTGTGTGCTTTTGCGTATGATGCTCTGAGTGTCTTATACACTCGTGCAGAGAAGTCTTACACGTTGCTGCGCCTGAACAATGATGTGAAATGGGCACCTCCAGCATTAAAGACAGACTCTACACAGTCATCACTGGATGTGAGGAAGATGGAAGAGACAGCCAACCAATTCAATTTGGATGCTGAGGAGCAGCAGCTGCTGATGCCCGTTGACGTTCTCTTTGGCAGCCTCATTGTCATAAACGGCGCGTTTGTGGGCATTCAGGCCACACAAGATGATGACAACACTGCCATTTATTGGATTGATTTGGGTTTTACAATGATTTTCACTGTTGAGTTTGTTCTGCGTGGAGTTTTGGCTGCCAACTTAAACTACGTCTACCAGTCCGAAGAGACAGACACCGACTTGAACTTCTTTGAGCAAGCCAACAGAAAGGTAACCCGCTTCTTCAAGCTAAAGTCGCGGATCAGGTTCTACGTTGTGCCTCCATGTCCTATTGGTGGTGTTGGTAGCACTGTCTCCGCTATGTGTCGCAGCTTGAGGGAATTCTCAGTCTTGTTTGACTTTGCCATCATCGCGCTGTCATTGTTGGATTCACTCATCATTGTGCAACTCAGGAATGCAGGTGCATTGAATCTTGACACCTCAGCATTGTCGGTGCTCAGAGCCTTTCGTTTATTTAGATTAGCCAAGCTCCTGAGGATTTTCAAATTATTTCCCCAACTGCAAAAGATGGTGTTTGCACTCATTGAGACGTGGCGCCAAGTATTCTGGGCACTGGTTTTGGTGCTGCTGGTGTTGTATGCTTTCTCCATTTACGCGGTATCAATGATAGGGGACGATGCCGAGGAAGGCTCAGCAATGAAGCTATATTTTGGTGACTTGAGAAGTGCACTTCTCACCGGATGGCAGGTCACGACTTTCGATCACTGGGACGAAGTCTTGCACCAGTCCAGAAACGATGCTCACTTGCACAAAGCGAATCGACCTTTTCGCATTTTGGTTTCCCCTTGTTGGTCTATTTTCAGTCATGGCCCCGAAAGGTGATCACCTTTAGTTGCATTAGTTTCCAGGTCTCTAGGGTCCCCTATGGTCCCCTATGGGTGAGGATGTACTGAACCTGGTGGTTTTATTGCTGGTTGCCATTGCGCTGGGCCTGGGCTTGATGAACATGGTGATCGGGGTGCTGTGCGAGAGCGCCCTGGGCCTGCAGGCCCGCGACGACTTGGACACGCAGCGGGGGGAGCTGATCGCCTTCCTGGCGGCCATGAAGAACCTGCAGGAGGCGTGCAGCCAGGAGCTGGGCGACCAGCTGCTGCCCTCCTCCTTGGTGGAGAAGGCCACGGGCCTGAAGATGAACCCTCGGATGGGCAAGTTGAGGGCGGAGCATTTTGGGGAGAAGGCGGGATCCTCTCCGTCCTTGGAGGATGAAGAGACGCAGCATATTCAGTGTCTCGGCCCAAATAAGCAGTTGGTTTGCTTTTGAACTCGCAGGGTTTCAGAATTATTGAAAGCTTAGGGGCCGCATGCATGCTGAATGTTTTGTTTTGCTGGCCAGGCATTTGCTTGAGAAGTTTCTGGATGAAGCTGGTCTGCACAGACTGCTTGTCAAGCGTATCTTTGACAAAGTCGATCACGGAAGGACGGGATCCATCACGGTCACTTGGCTGCAGCCCGCATGTCAGCACACGTTGGTTGCAATGACAGGGACGTTTTCAGGATTTTGTTTTGGCATTGTTTGGCCGAGTTATGGCGAAAGGCTTAAGGATTTGGGCCATTTTGAAGGTTGGCAGCGGCGGGGAAGGCAATTCTTGTTTGTGCGTGGTTCGCTCTCAAACCCTTATGCAAAGACAACCATAACATAGAATACATTCTTGCGTGATCAGCTTCAAGTTGCCATAGCAACTGTGAGCAACGAAGCCAATTCGAACCAGCGCAGGACAGGCGTTTTCTGAGTGTCCAACTTGAAACAAAGCGCTACTACTTCTGCAAACAAAAAAGACAGGATGACCCCTGCTGGAATCGGACTGGTACCTCATAGCTCCACAGGCCCAGGTGGGGCGGGTAGCAGCTGCCCAAACAAACCCACCACCAACTCTACTGCAAACACGCCCAACCCCAGCCCGCGAAACCAATCCTAAACCCACCTGATACCCCTGTGCGTAAACAATTCTGAAGTGCACCAGAATTTCCCACCTTAAGGTGCGCTTCTGATGCACGGAAAAGCTACCCCAAACCAAGCCCTGTCAACACTACAACCGCTTGTTTTCCAAGCTTAAAGCTATGCATCCAGTTACCGCCCTAAATCCACCCAACCCAAACAGAACCCTAAGTCCAAGCTTCAAGCATCCCCTAAACCTTTCCTTCAGACGATCCTGAAGCAACCTCAAAACAACTCCAAATACGCCTCAACACCAAAACCAATCTTGAACAAACCTCAAACGGATCTTAAACCAATCTACCCAGCTCCCAACCTGATCAACCGTAAACCAAGTTAAGCCCATCCTATTCCCACCCTAATGAACAACCGTAAACGGAACCTAAACCGACCCAAGCCACCCTACACCCACGCAAAACCAACCCTAAACACCCAGCTCAGTGATGCTGCAGAATTCCTGCACAAAGCGAAAAAGCCACGATGGCACAAAGTGTGCTTCCGCAGCTCGGCCGCTGCAGGGATGATTGCAGACACAACACACACACACACCTCCCTCTCTCTCTCTCTCTCTCTCTCTCTCTCTCTCTTTGCCTCTCTCTCTCTCTCTTTGCCTCTCTCTCTCTCTCGCGTAAATGTAAATACATATACATATATATGTATATTATACCTGTGTATACATGGATATTGCTTTTTGAACCCATGTGTCGGCTTGCTTGGTTGAGAATCACTCCACTGAGGTTGACGATCTTACCAAGGGCGCGCTTGTGGTCAAGGAGGACTTGGCAAAAGTTGAACTCTACGGTTGCACAGCCGCTCTCCGCGATGTGAGAGCCAAATGTGTGAAGATGAACCAGTGCATCATGAGCATTCACGCGTCCTTGCAGAGAGTCTTGGAAGACATGTCAGCAGTGATTCATCGCAAGTACGTGATGGACCCTGACGTTGATACTCAGCAGTTTGGTGCTGAGTATGATGCCAGCACTTTGCGGCCGCAAGCAGAAAAGGCTTTGTTCGAGATGTGCAAATGGTCAGGGGAAGGAAGTCTTCCACACATTTTGGACATGGGCACCGTTTCTGTCACTGCTGGCACTGGAAAGATTTCCATCTCGGGCGATGAGGTGGTGGGTTCTGGGACAGCTTTTCGAACAGAAGTTCAGGTGGGCGACATTATTGTAGTAGAACCATTTGTTGTTCAAAAGAGCGGGGACTCCGCTTCGAAGAAGACTCTTGCCGTCGCAGTTGCCGCCGTTCTCTCCCAATCCCGCCTAAAGATTGCCACCTTTGTGGCAGAGCTCTTGCCAGACGACATGATTTTTGTTGTTTCCAGGAGTTCTGAAGCAGTGGGGGCGGCACAGGGACACTCAATGAATGCTGGCACAACAGCTGTGGCACCAAAGCAGATGTCACCAAGGAGCGCTCAACATTTATTTGAATGGGACTTGCAAACGCAAAGGAGAGACATCGTCAACCTGCGCGAAGCAGAGGCGCAGCACATGTACTTGCAGAGCTTGAAAAGAGAAGCTGACTTTGAGCTACTAACAGTTCTTGAGCGTCCGTTGCTTAGGATTTGTTTCCAAGCATGGAAGTCTCAACTGAAGTTGAGACAGAAGACGGTCTCATTGTTGTGGTGAGCTCGACCGAGTTGGCCAGTTGCTGCAACGTTTCACCACGAGCCCAAGAAAGCAAGCACAGCTCCGAGCAATGTCCGGCGCTATGGCCAAAACAGAAGCCTTTCATTGTGTGCGCGTGTGGTGTATGTGTCGCCGGGGACAGGGTGGCTCTTGCGCCTTTGAAAATAGAAATCCGTTTCGACACCTAAGAGAATAGGTGTGAACTGAGGTCCGATGGCGAGGGTTGGAAGCCTCAGAGCTCTGGTGCAGGGAGGCGCCGCAAGGTCCAAGCATTGAACATTCGACTTACATTCGCCTTAAATTCTGCTTCAGCTTCCTGAGGGAATTTTCTGCCAGCGAGGCTCAAACGGACCTGGGCAGCATGTGAATGTTTGAAGCGGTGTGGCCAAAGAGTGCCATGTCGAGAACCGAATTTCAGGATGAAACTCCGTCCTGGCGGGTGGTGGTTTCCGCGCTTTTGTGCATAGTTCTGCCAGAAGCACTAGCCATGGCCCTGTTTTCCAGCATGGGCTTTGTCGTGACAGTTGCGGAACTTGCCACGAAGGAGAACATGGATATGGCTGGCAATGGGCTGGCGGCATTGTGCGCTGTCATGGCGGCGTTTGCTTTTGTGATTGATGTCCATCGAAGAGGACCGCTGGTGCAAGTGATGATAGGCATTCTTCTAGCTGGCTTCTGTCTGGCAGCATCATCCTTGAAGTGCATCAGCTATCCCTGGCTTAGTGGCCTTGTTTGTTTTGCCTTGGCCATTGTCATGGTAGCCTTGTTGCGCGCACGTTGCTTCAAGGTGGGTACAATGACAGGTCAGCATTTCTTCAACGGCATCGCGACGAGTTTCATTTTGAGCGCTCTTATTGTGATTGCTGCATGGGCAGCCTGGCAGGTCATGGAGGAACGCTCTTGGCGTGAGAGCACGAGAACATGGCTTGCAGAGCAGAATCTGGCTGTGTACAAGTCCCTCGAGGTGAACTACACAGCAGAGTGCAACGAGAGCCTCATCAACACTAGCTCAACCGCAGAAGCAGCTGCGGTTTCCTTGGCTTGCAAAAAGGCAGAAACAGTTTGGTTTCTCCAGTGGGCCAGTCCTTGCGCCCTAGCAATTTGCAATGTGATTGTAGCTGGGTTTAGCTGGGTCTTTGGGCAAGCTGCAGCAAGCATGAAGCGTGAGGACTGTGAAGATGCAAGCGAGCATGAAGCAAAGCATGTGAAAAAAGTTCTCAAGACCAGTTTTGCATTGGTTGTTCTCATGCTGGGCATCATGTACAGCGCGCAGTATGTATCTGGTGCAAACGTGACAGTCAGCTCGGGCCTGCTTGCTTTAGGTGCGGCATCAGCAGCTGCCATTGTTGGTTTCATGCTGCTAGAGTTCGGCCGTGACCGGCTGCAGGCAGTGTCACAGAGAGACGCACTGGCGCAAATTCTTTCTGGTATACTGAAGTCGGACTGGGTGAAAGCCGTTGCGGTTGCTTGCCTTAATGTCTGTATACCAGTGATGGCCCTCTTGGACATGATTCGCGAGAAGATCCGCAGGTGCACAAAACATCCACCACCCTCCAAAGGCAAATTTACAACGGAGGGGCAGTGCATCGTCAACGACATGAGAGCCTGGAATTGGTGCAGTATTTTCTTCAAAGTGAACCGCCTTGGAATGCTGGGTGTGTCCTTATTGCTTGGTATGAAGTTCACGTATGTCTTCTTTTCATGGCTAAATGAGATCTTATCAGCCGCAAACTTGTCCTTCCCAGTATTGAGCTTGATGATCCTGGGCGTGGGTCTGTCTATGTTTCTTTGCCCCATTGTTCCCGGCAGCGCTGTGTATCTTTTTGCTGGTGTGGTTTTGGGCGCCCAGTCTCAGAACTCCGTGGGCTTCGAAGTGGGTGTGGTGGCTGCGGCAGTGGTGAGTTCGGTTGCCAAGATGATCGCTTGCTTGTTGCAGTACTCCATGGGCTTTGCCATGGGCAAGAGTGTAAAGGTGCAACAATTTGTGGGCGTTGACAAGGTGCCCATCAGAGCCATGGAGCAGATCTTAAAGCAGAATGGCATGAAAAGCGACAAAGTTGCCATACTAGTCGCTGGACCGGACTGGCCGACAAGCGTTCTCTGTGGCATTTTAGGTCTGCGAATTCCGCCGATGCTGATTGGGACAAGTCCTGTAATTCTCGTCAGCGTCGTACCTCAAGTCCTTGTTGGCGCATTGCTGACTTACGAGAGTGGCTCAACTGGCTTAATGAGCATTGTATCAAGTTCTGTGACCCTGGCTGCCGCTGTAGTGCAAGCGCTAGCTATGTTTTACTTTACATATCGAATAATGAGGGTCGTGGACCAATGTGGGGATGAACTGAAGCGGTTCCGACCTGAGCATGCAGCAGTGGCAGAGTTGACTAAAAGAGAACTAGCCTTTGTTGAATCCCTTCGGAAAGTTTCTGACTGGAACGCGATGAGCCTGATCAAGCGTTCCATGGTGATGCTTTCTTCGGGTTGCATCATGCTATGTAGCTTCCTTTTGACAGCCGATTACTCTATGGCAGACAAGTTTGCCCTTCGAAGCTTTTCGCTAACCAATAGCATCGGTGCTAGCTTTGAAGCGGGAGGCTTGGATGGAAATGTTCTGAATATCGTGATGCAGCCGATTGGCTGGATTGCCCTGGGCCTTTTCTTTGGGGGCACTGCGATCGACGTGCTTGTCACCAAGATGCTTGCCCGTGACGCGCGCCACGACATTCTGCCGCACCAACAGCGAGTGCAAGTGGCACCTTGCTCGATTGGCAATCCAGAGGCGTCTTTTCTTCCGCGTGGGGGTCGAAGGAGTCAAGATACGGAATAGAATCGATTAGGCGTGCTGCTCCGGGAAACACTGCCGTGCACTGGTTAAACCATCATGCAACGCAGGTTTCACCACTTGTACAGATGTGGTAGCTGCTCTTTTTTTGATTGCATAGGGCTGTAAATACGTCGCACAAGCCAGGCAGTCGCAGCTGACTAGTTCAGGACTTCTTTCCGGAACAGTCGTGAAAAGGGCCGGGTGAATGTGACAAGAAGGTGCAAAAACACATGTGAAAAGCAACGCTTCAGAAGCAACTCAACATGCTGGCTGCAGCTTTGCCGGCACATGTCCGACCAATTGGCACTGCCCAAAAAAGGCACTCTTCTTCTCAACAAGGCCAATTGATCACGAGCCACTTTTGCAAATATTTCGTCCACGAAAAGCTCGAAACTTCGACTTCTTCTTCTTTCGCAAAATTGCTTGGCTCGTTTTGAACGTGTTGGAGATAGTCTTGTTTGAGATATGTTCCAGTGCCGCGCGACACGAGATTGAAATCGAGCAACAACCAGAAGACAGAGTCCGTGGACAACATCTCGCCTGCCCACAGCCCAGCTCCGCTTTGAGCGCAGAGATTGCGTTTTCCTGCTCCACGCCTAAGCAACCAACCAAAACAACAATCCCGAACCCATGGCGTGTAACCATGAAGCACAAGGCAGAATACAAGCGCAGCGCCTGCCGGAGCCAGCGTCCACACAATAGATGTACAAGAGAGGGTGTGAAGGATCGCAGTGTGAAAACCAATGTTCTCTGGCCGCCACGTTCATTTGGTGCCTGCAAGCCAGATGGTGTTGCAAATCAAAACGCACCCGGATTGCAACTTTGTTCCAAACAATTCCAAGGCTTTCGGTACCCTTCTCATCCACCATGCGTAGAGCGAACCAGGTGTCTTTTCTAGCATCGCTCTCGCAAAAAAGAGGCTCACAATGAATGTTTTGAGCAATGCAGCGATGCCGCAATTTCCCATGATGGTGTTCATGCTGGGCGGCCGCCAGAATGTCCTGCGCAAGGCGCATTATTCAGGGTTTGAAGTGGCCGCAACATCCAAAACATCTTGGGAAACGACGGGAGTTGCCATCACAAGCGCATCGGCTTGCAGGCCACGGCGGTTTGATCCAAGATTGCAGTTTACCAGCACAGCAGCTCTCTGGAGCTGACAAGATGAAGAATCTTGAGGCAGAAAGCGAAGGGTATGCCTGACAGCGTGGGATTTGATCGATGGGTAAAGATCAAGGATGGCGCACAAACACTTGCACCTTGAGCGACCGATTCGCAAGATGAACATTCTCCACTCCAACCTCAGTGCGAACACTCAAAAGGTCTAAGCCTCCCGACTTTGTAGGGAGTAAAGCTTGCGACCAATGGGTGCGCATCAGAATGGCAACTATAGACATTGTCCAATTAAAGAGCAGTAGTGCGGCAAAGATTGCATCTTGCTGAAACGCGTACCGCTTTCAAGAAGGTGGAAAGCAAGATGCTTGGAAGGGAGACTTTCAATTGTTTTGTCTCAATGTCTTCGGATTTCTACCAACCCTGAACTGGGCGCTTTGAGCATAAGAACATCTGGGCCGGCGAGCATGTCTCGAGATGACCTTGGTAAACCAAATGGGTAGGAGTTCCTGCCACAGCAGTAAGCCGCAAATCGGGCTGAAGATGGCATGATCTTGGGCATCTCGGGCATCCGGCAAGAATCGCGCACGCAACACTTCGTCAAATCTCGTTTGGAGCAAAATTTTCTGGGCCTGCGGCCTCTAGCCGGCTATGCCTCTTTGAAGTTATGCAATGTCATGTCATGTTTCTTGTGCCAGTAGAGGCGAAGCCGGTGGACGGAAGTTTCTAAAGCGAGAAGAGTGCCTATAGGAAGAGCTTGGCTTGTTTTTTGTGTGGGTTTCGCTCTTTCTTTGTCTCTGTTTTTTTTTTTCTTGTTTCTTTCTTTAATTATTTTTTTCTTTTATTTCTTTCTTTTTCTTTCTTTTCTTTTTTCTTTTTCTATCTCTTTATTTATTCCCTCTTTATTATTTCTTTATTTCTTTATTTCTTTATTTCTTTATTTCTGTATTTATCTTTCTTTCTCTTTCTTTCTTTCTTTCGTTCATTCTTTCTTTCTTTATTTCTTTCTTTCTTCCTTTCCTTCCTTTCGTTCTTTCTTTCTTTCTTTTTTTCTTTCTTGTTTTCCTTTCTTTCCTTCTTTCTTTCCTTTTTCTTTCTTTCTTTCTTTGTATTTCTCTTTCTCTGTCTCTTTCTCTTTCTCACTCTCTCCCTCTTCCTATTTGATCTATCTATCTATCTAACTATATATCTATTTATCACCTGACCTTGCGAAAGTGCTGCGCCTGCCACGAAATCTGTACTCACATGATGCGCCCGTGTGCCACGAAATCTGCCCCTTAGGTTGCCAACGTGCTGCGCCTGCCACGCAAAATAGACCTCCGAGAACATCATCATCATCCTCCTCATCGTTATCCATCATCATCTTCATCATCATCATGATCATCCATCATCATCATCATCATCATCATCATCATCCTCTCATGCACTGATTTTGGCCAGGGGTTTTGTAATCGAAATCATCATCATCATCATCATCATCATCATCATCATCATCATAGTCACCTCACACATGAGCAACAATGTACTGATTTTGGCCACGGGTTTTGTAGAAGTCAAAATCAGCATCATCATCATCAGCATCATCATCATCATCCGCATCATCATCTCATGCACTGATTTTGGCCAGGGATTTTGTAATCGAAATCAGCATCCTCATCATCATCATCATCTCACACATGAGCAACAATGCACTGATTTTGGCCACGGATCTTGTAGTAATCAAAATCAGCATCATCATCATCATCGTCGTCATCATCATCATCATCAGCTCACACATGAGCAACAATGCACTGATTTTGGTTAGGGGTTTTGCAGTCGAAATTGGCAACCCAAATCTTTGCAGTGGCAGACATGGCGCAAGCCAATTATATGGCAACTAATACTTATCGACCCCATCTTTCATGCTCGGCATCGTTCCTGCAAGAGATACTGGGCGTGCGTAGCGATACATCCTCCTCCTCATCCGGAACCATCCATCATCATCATCATCATGATCATCTATCTCTTATGAGGCAGCATTGATAATGCAGAGGATTCTACAACGATAGATGCCGTCGTGATGGTTATCATCATTGCTGCTGGAGATGCTGGGGATGCGTAGCGATGGTTATCATCATCATGAAGATTTATCGTCGTTGCTACTGGAGATGCTGAGATGCGTAGTGATGGTCATCCTCATCATCAGGATTGCTGCTGGAGATGCTTGCACACGTAGTGATGATTATCGCCTTCGTATTCTTACTTTATTCATATTCTCACATTCGTATTCTTAAGTCTTACTATATACATTTCAATAGTGGCGTTAGGCACAGTTGGAGATGCCGGGGATGCGTAGTGATGATTGTCATCATCCTAATCATCGCTGCTGGAGATGCTGGGGATGCGCAGGGCACTGCTGCTGGAGATTCTAGGGATGCGTAGTGATGGTTATCATCATTGCTGCTGGAGATGCTGGGGATGCGTAGCGACACGTCATACTCTTCATCGTCATCCATCCATCACCTTCATCATAATCATCATGATCATCTCTCAGCATCATCGTCATCATCATCATCATCGTCGTCAGAATCATTTTCATCTACATCCTCACCGTCATCCATCGTCATCATCATGACACCCGGCTTCATCATGATCATCATCATCATCGCCGTCGTCATCTCACGCATGAGCAACAATGCATTGATTTGGCTAGGAGTTTTGCGATCAAAATCAGACCGCCCAAATTCTCCTGATTTTGGTTCAGGAGTTTGCGATCGAAATCGGGCAAACCGGCCACAAGGACCCGCAACACACAAGCCCACAGCTAGTTAAAATGGACACACTCAGAAGTGAAGTCAAGACGGAGAATCGCGAAGGGTACCTCTGTTCTGCGCACGGGTTCGTCACGTTCTCGCCACGGTCTCGCCACGGAAGCAGAATGTTGCCCACTGGCACGGCCGCGCAGACGTTTTCGGAGGTTACACCCTTTACATGCGCCGCGCCCTTACAAGGGGTCGGCGGATATAAGCGGGTTGAGTGGTATTCTGCCCAGAGTGCATTTAACACAGCCTTTCGCCACGTGAGTCCCACAACATAACGATGGGACGAGCATTTTCAAGCAAAGGAGTTGGGTCGCCCTTGACCCAATGAATTGTTCCCCTTCAGGCGGGAGCAAGCCCATCAAACAAAAGCCTGGAAAAGCGGCGTCCTGGTGAGGCAGAAGCAGCCAAATGGCCAGACATCCAGATTTGAGCCACGGATTGCAAATTTGACATTATCCCGCGCAATCAATTTGTCAGCCGCCGGCGACTGCGCGTTCTGCGCTTTTCCGGCGACGGCAGGAGTGAGGTTGAGCAAGCGCTCACACAAACGCTTGCTGGGATGCTTGCTACAGTGCCGTTGCACATTGTCCTGTTCCTTTTGGAGTACGCCCTCCCGCAAATTGCTGTCATGGGTGAGGAGGAGAGGATTTTCATTCAATGTCGAGCACGTGCCAAAGCCCCGGACAATCGCACCTTCTGCATCACGATCCTTCGTAAAGGCCCGCATGAAATGCATGGAATGGAGTTGGTCCTCAGAAGCTCGCGAAGAAGAAGGTTGACTGCCGAAACGGGGCGCTCTAAATTTAGGAGCGACCGGAAGCTCCGGAAGAAGAAGGTTGACTACCGAAACGGGGCGCCCTATATATAGGAGCAACGGGACGTCAGGAACGGAAGAAGAAGGTTGACTGCCAAAACGAGGCGCCCTATATATAGGAGCGACCGGAAGCTCCGGACGAAGAAGGCTGACTGCCGAAACGGGGCGCCCTATATATAGGAGCAACCGGAAACTCCGGAAGAAGAAGGGTGACTGCCGAAACGGGACGCCAGGAACGGAAGAAGAAGGTTGACCGCCGAAACGAGGCGCTTTTATAT